AAAAGTTTCCTAAAATTGGATAATAAAAAACAGAATTGGCAATAAAGACGAAAATGTAGCAAAACAACAAAAAAAGTGATAATTCTGGCATCTTTGTCATGAATTCTGTCCTTGCCTATGTCTTAAATGGTATTGTTTAGGTTGTCTTCCAGGGTTTTTATAGTTTTGGGTTTAACATTTGAGTCTTTAATTCATCTTTAGTTAATTTTTGTATATGGTGTAAGGAAGAGGTCCAGATTATGCATATGGCTATCCAGTTATCCCAGCACCATTAATTGAAACAGGAATCCTTTCTCCATTGCATGTTTTTGTCATATCAGTCAAAGATCATATAGTTGTAGGTGTATGGTCTTATTTCTAGGTTCTCTATTCTGTTCCATGTGTCTACATATCTGTTTTTGTAACAGTATCATGCTGTTTTGGTTACTATAGACTTTTAGTATAGTTTAAAGTTAGTGTGGTTAGTGTGATGTCTCCATCTTTGATCTTTTTGCTTGGGATTGCTTTTGCTACTAGCTCATTTTTGGTTCCATGTGAATTGCAATAGTAACCAAAGCAAAGAATTTATTAATGGATCTAATTAAAGAGCTCTGCATCCAACAAAGTTCTAACATCCAGCATCTATAAGAAACTTAAACAAATTTATAAGAAAACAACCCCATTAAAAAGTAGGGAAAGGATATGAACAAACATTTTCTCCCCTGTTTTTAAATTGCCATAGATTTTTGGGGAACAGGTGGTGTTTGATCACATGAGTAAATCCTTCAATGGTGATTTGTAAAATTTTGGTGCACCCATCAGCTGAGCATTATACACTGTACCCAGTTTGTACTCTTTTATCCCTCACCCCCTCACACCCTTTTCCCCAAGTCTCCAAAGTCCATTGTATAATTCTTATGCCTTTGCATTCTCATAGCTTAGCTCCCACTTATGAGTGTGAACATATGATGTTTGGTTTTCCATTCCTGAGTAATTTCACTTAGAATAATAATCTCTGATTCCATTCAGGTTGCTGTAAACGTCATTATTCTGCCCTTTTTACAGCTGCATAGTATTCCATAGTATATATAAACAACAATTTCTTTCTTTTTTAAATTATACTTTAAGTTATAATACACTGTTGTTAGTAGTGTAAATTAGTTCAGCCATTATGTAAGACAGTATGGTGATGATTCCTTAAAGGCTTAAAGACAGAAATACCATTCAACCCAGCTATCCTATACTGAGTGATTTTTATAACCAAAAGTTATATAAATCATTCTAGTATAAAACAAATACACAGAAATGTTCATTGCAGCAGTATTCACAATAGAAAATACATGAAATGCCCATCAATGAATAGACTGGGTAAAGAAAATGTGGTACCTATACACTATGGAATACTATGCAGCCATAAAAAGAATGAGATCAAGTCCTGTAAAAGGATCTGGAGGCCATTATCTTTAGCAAACTGATGTAGGAACAGAAACCCAAATACTGCTTATTTTCACTTACAAGTGGGAATTAAATGGATGAAAACACATAGATATATAGAGGAGAACAACACACAATGGGGCCTCTGGGAGGATAAGGGGTGAGAGGAGAAAATAAATCAGGAAAAATGACTAATGAGTACTAGGCTTAATACCTGGGTGATGAAATAATCTGTATAACAAACTCCCATGGTACAAGTGTATTTATGTAACAAACCTGCACATGTACCTTTGAACTTTAAATAAAAGTTTAAAAAATTGTAAGAGTGATAATAGTGGTAGTGCAATTTGAATCAAACATAAAAGGAGTTACAAAAGAAAGACCTGGGTGTGGAGACCATGCTTATTTATTTATTTATTCATTCATTCATTTATTTTTTCAGACAGAATCTCATTCTATCACTCAGGTTGGAGTACAGTGGCGCAATCCCAGCTCACTGCGACCTCCACCTCCCGGGTTTAAGGAATTCTCCTGTCTCAGCCTCCCAAACAGCTGAGATTACAGGTGAGTGCCACCAGGCAGGACTAATTTTTGTTTTTTTAGTAGACATGGGGTTTTACCATATTGGTCAGGCTGGTGTCGAACTCCTGATCTCAAATGATCCACCCACCTCGGCAGTGCTACTTTTCAAGAAAATCTAGATATGCAGCCAGGGGAACTTAGTCAAGGTAATCATGTTGACATTATGAGAAAAGTGATGGTGATTAAAATGATGAGTATGTCCCAGAGGAAGTCACACTGGCAAGTTTCACATTCAGGGAACTTCGGAAGATACTTCACAACTTTGAAAGGACAAAAGATAAAGTGTTGGAAGCTGATACAAAGTTAGGCATATTAAATATATCTGCTTCATGGTGCATTTTACAATGAAAAGAAGGCAAACACTGTTGATGCTATACTTTATAAGTATTTTACAAAAAATAATGCTTTAATTCTCAATGTTTGTAATAATTTACAGAATATTAATTTATTTTTATTTATCATTAGTGAAAATATGAATTTTTAAGATTTTGATGAAAAATATTTAAAGGTCATTAAAAATTTATATTTTGTTCCATTGTTTATTGAGATTACTTGTATGGCTTGAATTTGCTGGTCATTTTACAGTTCGTTACTACTGCACAAAATGGGGATTGCCTATATTGAACATATCTTAGATATTAATGTTTTTTTAAAAAATTGCATTTCTTTGAAAAACAAATGACACTTTTAAAAGAAATTATAAAAAGTGGACCTGTCTCTAAAAGCCTGTTTTTGTCCACATAGCACTTCTATGATATATGTACAATATAAAATCTATAATATGTCGCCTTCGTAAAATTAACAATGAAGTGAGTTTCAGGAATGCTTGAAATAAAAATGCTTATTTTCTAGTATTATTTAGTAATGTAAAAGAAAACACAGGTTTTAGTAGCTTATATAAGAATCCTCAAAATGAGTGTGCATGTAACTTCTCAAAGAAATGCATAAAAATGGCTTTTTCATGTTTAAGTGTTTCTTACTATGTTTCAAAACAATTTTCTTATATTCCAAGAAAAAGATTAAAGGTTGTCACTTCTTGAGTGAATGTGTTTGAAAGATCTATACTGAACACATAAAATGTTGAGATCAGGGGCCTGATTAGAGCTGAGTATTAGGAAGACGTGAAAGGGATATATGTGCAAAACCCATTGTGGGGTGAGTATTTTTTAAAGTTACATCTTATTTTTGTGATTTCTTTGTTCTATTTGCAATATTTTGCTACTTAATTTTCTTAGTCTTCTGAGCATGGGAACTTTATCTAATTCACATTTTATCCTTAGCACCTAGGCCAGTTCTTGTCTTCTAACTACTTAACCATATACAACATAATAAATAATAATGTTTCTATGGATTTTTTTTTAAGATTTCATAAACCTTTTTTTAACCTTTTGGTATACCATGATTTGTTTCCCTTATTTATTTTTCCAAAAATAATTATGAATGACTACACAATATTTTAAAGCTTTGGACATATATTACTTATTTGCTTTCTGAAGTAGGGATGTCAGTGTACACTCTGACCAGTATTATTTCAGAGTATCATTGCTGGTTTCCCTGTGTTCTTATCAACGTAACGACTTAAAATTTTCTTCCACTTGTGTAGGTATAAACTGGTGTTTTTGTGTTATAATATTTATTCCTTTGTTTACCAATAAGGCTGAACATTATTTATGCTTATGGTTACTTATAGTTTTTACTATTCAACAGTTCCTTGTTTGTATTGTGGCATAAATTTATAATATGCAATACTTTTTTTAATGTGTTCTTAACAAGTACCCTCAAAATACAAGAAAAAGAATAAATTTAGAAAATTGACCTAAGAGATAAAGAAAAAGTAGTTCAAATATAAAAAGGACTGAAATAGGTGAAAGTATTTTCCAACTTTAGGGTGTATGATGTGTTCAAGTATTCCAAATGAATGCACTGTGAAATACATGAGTGTTACTGGCCCTGGATAAAACAAAAAAGCTAGTTCGGGAACTGATTTTTTTTTTTTTTTAGACAAAGTATTGCTGTGTCAACCCAGCTGGAGTGCAGTGGCACCATTTGGGCTCGCTTCTTCCCAGGTTCAAATGATTTTCCTGCTTCAGTCTCCAGAGTAGCTGAGACTACAAGCATGTACCACCCCCAATGCCTGGCCAGTTTTTTTGTATATGTTGAAGAGATAGGGGTCTCACCATGTTGGCCACGCTGGTCCTGAGCTCCTGACCTCAGGTGATCCTATTTCCTTGACCTCCCAAAATGCTGGGATTACAAGCAGGAGCCACTGGGCCAGGCCTGGGAACTGATTTTGAATGACCATACTTTGGATGCTATATATTAATTCACTGATAAAGCATAACCATTTAATTTTCTTCCCCTTTGAAGAGTGTTAAAAGAGGCTTTGTTGGGCCGGGCGCGGTGGCTCAAGCCTGTAATCCCAGCACTTTGGGAGGCCGAGGCGGGTGGATCACGAGGTCAAGAGATAGAGACCATCCTGGTCAACATGGTGAAACCCCGTCTCTACTAAAAATACAAAAATTTAGCTGGGCATGGTGGCACGTGCCTGTAATCCCAGCTACTCAGGAGGCTGAGGCAGGAGAATTGCCTGAACCCAGGAGGCGGAGGTTGCGGTGAGCCGAGATCGCGCCATTGCACTCTAGCCTGGGTAACAAGAGCGAAAATCCGTCTCAAAAAAAAAAAAAAAAAAAAAAAAAGAGGCTTTGTTATTACAAAGCTTATGTAATTTTTTATGTTCTAAATTTGAAATTAAATTAAGTTAAATGAAATTGTGCTTGACATTTTAAGCCTATCAGAACACAACGAGAACAAACATGAAATGTAGATTTATTCTCTAAGTATAAACTTAGCTATGATTTGATCAAATTGCCAGAGGGGTAATATCATCCAGTGACAAGAGTACAATTTTATGCAATTTTAAGATTTTTTAAATCCTTGTTTTACCCCTTTCTATTTGTGTGATCCTAAGAAAGTTACATTTGTGTGCACATTTGTGTGATCCTAAGAAAGTGAGCGTGAGCGGCGCCGGGACCGGGATCGTGACCTCGACCGTGACCGCGAGCACAAGCCGGGGGAGCGAGGCAGTGAGCGGGGCAGGGATGAGGCCCGAGGTGGGGGTGGCGGCGGCCAGGACAACGGGCTGGAGGGTCTGGGCAACGACAGCCGAGACATGTACATGGAGTCTGAGGGTGGCGACAGCTACCTGGCTCCGGAGAATGGGTATTTGATGGAGGCTGCGCCGGAGTGAAGCGGTCCTCTCCACCTGCTGTGATTGGACGCGTTCCTGCCCCACCCCCTTGCTGTCATCCCCTCCCTCAACCTTGGCCACCTCAGTTTGTCCTCCAAGGGTAGGTGTCTCATTTGTTCTGGCCCCTTGGATTTAAAAATAAAATTAATTTCCTGTTAAAAAAAAAAAAGGCGCTGGAGCATGGTTTTGCTTGTGAGGGTCGTAAGATGGGAACGCTCGCGGAACGTAGAACTATCCCGCCGTGGGTGAAAGTTCCTGAAGACCTGAAAGATCCAGAAGTGTTCCAGGTCCAGACGCGGCTGCTGGAAGCCATGTTCGGCCGGGACGGATGTCGAATCCCTTACATCGAGCAGGTGAGCAAGGCCATGCTCGAGCTGAAGGCTCTGGAGTCTCCAGACTTCACCGAGGTCGTGGTCTACGGCTCCTATATATACAAGCTCCGAGCCAAATGGATGCTCCAGTCTATGGCTGAGTGGCACCGCCAGCGCCAGGAGCGAGGGATGCTCAAACTTGAGGAAGCCATGAATGCCCTCGAACTAAGCTCTTGGATGAAGTGAACCAGCTTCCAATCAGGATGAAGACCAGGATGTAGAGATTAGTTTGTGGCCAGCGTTGGAGTGATGTCTCCAGCTTGGTTTAAAATCTGTTCCAGCCTGAGGAGTTGAGGGAAAATCATCTGTTTAGGGGTCTCTACCTTGGGTCTGAGTCTTGTGAATATCTTTGATGGTTGCCAATAAATGTTTTTCTTCCCCATTTTAAAAATGAACAATAAAGTTTTAAATCGGTAAGTAAAAAAAAAAAAAAAAAAAAAAAAAAAAAGGTCTGTGGTTGGAGAATAAACATCTAATCAGGCTTTTCCTCCATTTTCACACTAACCACAGCAATCACCTACACAGAAGACTTCTATGACCAAATCCAGAGCAGTTTCTCACCACCACCAAGCAGTGCATGCCAGCTGGCATTATCTGCCTGGAGATAACATCACATCTCACAGGTTGGGGGCTCAGTCCCAAAGACTGACTCCTCACCCCACCAGTCTCAAATCAAGCTCACCCACATCAGTCTCAAATCAAGGCTTCTGGAACTTCTGACCAACTGGCTCAAGTTGGGTTTCCCACAACCCCCTCTTTGGATTTGATTAATTTGCTGGACTATCTCTCATAGCCCAGGGAAACACTTAATATTTACTGGGTTATTATAAAGGATAATGTGAAAGATACAGATGAAGAGATGTGAAGGACAAATATGAAGGAAAGGGTAGGGAGTTTCCTCGCCCTCGCTGGAAGCTCTTCAAACCCAGTTTGTTTTGTTTTGTTTTGTTTTGTTTTTTTGTTTTCACTGCAATTTCTGCCTGCTGGGTTGATGGAATTCTCCTGCCTCAGGCTCCTGAACAGCTGGAATTACAGACATGCACCACCAAGCCCAACTAATTTTTGTAATTTTAATAGAGATTGGGTTTTGCCATGTTGGCTAGGCTACTCTCAAACTCCTGACCTCAGGTGATCCACCTGCCTCGGCTACCAAAGTGCTGGGATTACAGGCGTGAGACACCATGCCCGGCCTCCCTTGGGTTTTATGGAAGCTTTCTGACATGAGGGTTTCTTACCTCCACTCTCTGAAGTATAATGTGGGGCTCTCTCTGGGCAGGGTTTTAAGACTCACAATCATAAAGGTGGGGAAAGATTGAAGTCCTTGCTTTAGGGCAGGTGAATAGATGACAGGAGAGAGATTCTGTTTCCTGAAGCCTGCTCCTGAGGCCAAACCTACCCAATATTATATCAAAATACTGTAAAGGGATGTGGGAATTATGAACTAGGAACCTTGGGTGAAAACCAACATATATCACAACATCACCGTCTATAAACCAGACTTTGTCAAAGGTGCCTCCTAACTGCTGTATTTCAACCCACAATAAAGAAATTAACCAATGTTTAAGCTATACTGAATACATACTTAATAGATTTTGGAAAATTAATTTTTCTTTTTACTTTTGATTGGAAAAGGAGCTTTTCCTTATCTCCCAAATGGAGAAATAAAGCTTGTTTCCAAACAGTATTCCAAGCAACACCACCCAGAGTACATTGTTCGGCTCCAATGTGTTAGTGCTGTTTATTTGAGTATTTGTACCTTAATGGTTGAATTGTTTAAACTTCCCTTGTTGGGATGTGTGATTTTCCGATTTCTCCAAAAATAAACAAATTATGTATGCATTCTGGAAATGCTGCAGAGATCAAATTAAATGGCGTAGTATCTGCATTTTAACAAGACAATCATGTGAAATTAGGCAAATTACATTCTTAAAAGTCTGGTTGTTAAAATATACTCTAATATGATTTAGTTTATTTTTAGTTTCAAAAAAAGTCCACTAGTTTTTTCTGCTTTCATTAATACAGATGATTAATCTGAAGGAAATGCTGAAACTCTTATCAAAAAACCATCATGTACTAATCTATCTTTTTCAAAATAGCTTTGCATTCTTTTTCTTCATCCCATCTCCACGGTCACTACACTAATGTCTGCCTTTATTACCTCCCGTTTGTATTATTGAGGTAGACCACAAGAAATAGGACTCCATTTGCGATTTCTGCCCTCTAATTTAACTGCATGCCACAACTACACCGGAGATTCTAAAGAATTATTTTTCATATATTGTGAAAAATGTTTGGTGGCTTTCACTTATTCATTTTTTTAACATGCATAAATTGTATCACCTTTTTCCTGTGTAATTTCTACCAGCTCACTAATTTTCTCTTCCTGTTTATCTAGTCTCTTGGGTTTCTAATTTCCAGTAATTATTTTCATTTCTGCTACAATTTAATATAGTTCTATTTGGTTATTTTTTTTTAATTCTCTTGTCATTTTCGATATCTGTTTCCTCCTTCATAATACTTTTCATACTATCTTTCCAGTCTTTAAACAGATTAAATATCTGTACACATTTTAAGATATATTCTATGTGTGTATCTGCTAACTTTCATTAAAAAATGTTCACTTTCAAGTTCATCTGCGAGTTTTGCTTCATTTTGTTTTGTTTGGTGTGATCTCTATACATTTATCTGTAATAATTCTTCCGGACTCATTTTTCTTAAGTATTTGGTTGTACCTAAGCTTTGGATAGTGTCAACCAGAGACCACTTTAAATTTCTGACTTGTAGGCTGGGCGCGGTGGCTCAGCCTGTAATCCCAGCACTTTGGGAGGCCGAGGCGGGTGGATCACAAGGTCGAGAGATCGAGACCATCCTGGTCAAAATGTTGAAACCCCGTCTCTACTAAAAATACAAAAAACTAGCTGGGCGTGGTGGTGCGTGCCTGTGATCCCAGCAACTTAGGGGGCTGAGGCAGGAGAATTGCCTGAGCCCAGGAGGCGGAGGTTGCGGTGAGCCGAGATCGCGCCATTGCACTCCAGCCTGGGTAACGAGAGCGAAACTCCGTCTCAAAAAAAAAAAAAAAAAAAAAAAAAAAAAAAAAAATTTCTAACTTGTTATTTCTCTGTTAGTATAAGAGTGGCCATGAGGTAAAAAGTCTTTTCTTCCCTTGTTTCTATGTTGTTTTCTTTTCCTTTTCCTTTTTTTATTTTGTTTTTCCATCCACCCACCAAAAAAGAAGAGACAGACAAGTATCACCATGTTCTTATGCACTGTGGAAAATTATCCAGTATTCCCATTTCAAGTGTAGATCTTTATTGATTATATAGTGTCTCATATGTCTCCTGTTTGGGAGGTTTACCTGGCTATTTTGTGTCTTTTAGGTAAAACCTCAGTAAAGACAAGTCTTTAGGCCACCTGGAGACAGCAACAAGTACACGTGGCAAATGGCAGTTTCCTCCCTAGATTAAGTTTTCCTCCTTTCCAGCCGCCACCGAGTTCCATTATTTTACAATGGCTTAGCCGTGTCATTTTGTTTTCAGGTTTACATTCCGAATTAACTTTAGACTTCCAGAAGACTGGGGTAACAATGCTGAATCTTCATATATCCTTTACCAATCTACCCCTATCATTCACATCTTAAGTCACCGTAGTGCTACGATCAGAACCCAAGAATTAAAATAATGCTAATTTCCCAACATAGGCATTGTTTAAATTTCAACATTTTTTTCGTTTTTTTTTTTTTTTTTTTTTTTTTCTGTTTATAGGATTCTCTCACGATCCCACATTCCTTATAGACTACCTCCGGCAGTCTACAACATTTCCCCGGTCTTTTCTTGTCTTTTGTACTTCAAAGCTTTTGTTCGCAATGGACATTCCTTGATTTGGGTTTATTTGACACTGACACTGTTTCATAATTCATTGAATGTTTTGCATTTTTTACAGGAATGCCATGAAAAGTATGTTGTACCACCCCTGTACAGCATACCTGGAGGTTTAAGATGCCAGTACATGCTGTTACTAGTGATGTTGACCTTGATCAATCTGTTGAGTTAGTTTTGTTAGATTTCCTCACTCTAAAGTTACCAGCTTTCTCCACTGATTTCACAAATATCTTGAGGGAGATACTTTACAGTTAGGAAATTGCTGTTTTTTTCTTGAAAGTTTTGCTTGCTAATGTTAGTGATGGCAGCAGCAGCCCATGTGGAGCAGCTGCTGTGGGGACACCAGCTGTAGTCGGGGAGGCATGGCTGGGTCTGTGCACTGCATGGAGCCAGTGGGAGCCGGGAGTAGGTGGGAGTCCCTCCCACTACCGAGTGGGCGGAGTTGGGAACATGCACTCCCATGCACAGCTGCAGCCGTCCAGCCGTGGCTCCGGACCCAGGCAAATCTGCGCTCTTGGGAGCCAGAGAAGCCCCCAGCCCTGCAGGCTCAGAAGTGCCTGCTCCTGCTCCTCTCCATCCCCAGCGCCTGCTCCGATTTCAGAGAAATGTTGAAGTCAAGCCTGGGTGCTGTCGTGATCTGACTGAGTGTGTATACTCGAGAAAGCACTGACACGCCAGCAGTTTGCCCTACTACCTCAGACTCCTCCAAAACTTTGGGCACTAAGGAGCTCAGGGAGGGAGGCTGGGGACAATCTGAGGACCGGTCTGCTGGGCTGCAGGTGAACAGCCTGGACACTGTGGATGACATGTTGATGGTGAGAGGCAGACAGGTTCCTGGTTGGAAAACGGCAGGTCCCCATTGAAACCGCACCTTCGAGCCGGGAATGGCCTGAAGCCTGGGGACTGGGCTACCAGTTCTG